TATGACAAGGTTGGCAAAATCTTTAACGGAAATTTATTACAAAGTCTGAATATTTCGCAAATTACAGGCAAAGACAATACATAATTTCAAACACTGGTCATTTTACTATGCTTCAATTCTAATGCACAAGTTGCCATAACTTTGAATAGCTAAGAGTTGACCTCAAAATATGACTTGATGTTCGCCCTTTGCGGTGAGCGGTCTTAAAAAATTTAAACTTTAAAATTTAAGTTTTAACTATCTTCCAATGATTCATGTGCGTATAAATATGCTAAGAAAAGTGAATGGTTATTCTACAATGACATTTTCTTGGTTATTTTATGCGCAGTATTCCCTCTTTAAACAGCTACGAATGGGGCTCGACGTTCTCCATTAGTTTATGGTTTCAAACTGGCCAATATGTGACAAGGCAACAAGGTGGGCTGATAAACAATTTTAATGTAACTACTACCAACGCATCGATCGCGAACGAAACCCATACAGTTACTACTGGAAGTTGGGATATATTCCTTAAAAAAGGCGAGATTGAGGAACAGAGAATAATTGGTGCAACGATCGTGACGTCACATGCCAACAAAACCTGGGATGACATTGCTGTGATCCGTGCGCATCATTGGTATCATTTGGCGATGACATACGACGGTGAAACCATTAATTTCTACCTCAACAATCACCTTGTGTTAAGCGACTCCCAGTGTTGTCATGGTGACATCGTCAGCACACATACCGACGTTGTGATTGGTCGAAATTACAATGAAGGGAGTTTCAACGGATATATTGACGAATTGAAATTGTTTAAAAAAGCGCTCACTTCTCAGGAGATTACAAAGTTGTATCAGCTAAAAGTTGTTTAAACTATAGGACTTTTCGGGAATGTTTACGGAGTTTGGAATTGACTTATGGACTTGAAATGTTTTAGAGACCTTATAATTTCTTTTGACGCATATTAAAAATGTAATCCTATGGGGATGGTTGTTTAAAGCTGGATTTAGCGGCAACCCTCGGTTAAAATGTTCCCTGCTGTTTTAGTTTGTGTATTTCTGTCTGTTTATTTCTGTCTGTATATTTCAAAACGTCAGAGAAAAAAACTCCCATATGATTCAAACAAGATCTCTGAAGAAATATTTCCAAATTTATTGACAAGCTGTTTGGGAAGTTTGCTTTGAATTTTTGGTTAACCTAAAGGGTTAAGCTAACCCAGCTTTGAACAACTCGCCCCAGGAGGTTACGAAACCCGAAACAGTTAGTTTAAAATGTAATTAGAGCATTTTGTAATAATTACAAAAAATTGATTAAAAAGTTATAAAGGATGTTGCTGTTGTTGTTGTTGCCGTCATTGTTGTTGTTGCTGCTGCTGTTGTTGCTGCTGTTGTTGTTGTGGTCGTCGCTGTAGTTGTTTTAGTTGTTTATGTTGTTGTTGTCGTTGCTGTCGATGTCCGTTCCTGTTGTTGTTGTCGATGCTGTTGTTGTTGTTGTTGTTGTTGTTGTTGTTGTTGTTGTTGTTGTTGTTGTTGTTGTCTGGACAATACATAGGACTCGACTCTGGAGAAACCATATCACGTCAAGAATAGTGTGCTGCTTCGTTCTACCCTGTGGTTCTGTTCGCTTTAAGCGTTTGTAAGTGAATACCACTCCAATGTCGAAAAGACCATTCCGGAAATAGAACGCAGACATATTGACTGCAGACCCAGTTTCAAAATGGCAAAAGCTGCGCTAGTTTTGACTGCCTTTCTGGCGATATTTCTCGTTAAAGTGGACGCTGGCATGGACTTCGACTGGGACTATTTCAGAGACTTTTTAGGTAAGAGGCCATTCAGTTAAATTAACACGAAACTCTTGAATCAATGTGTAACATAATATTATATTAATATACGAAAGAGATCTTACAAAATAAAGCGCCAGTCAAAAAAGACTTGATGAGAGTTGGTAGTCATGAATTGTTACAGGGGAGACTTCAAGCTCTAGATTAACAAAATGAAGGTTTGATGAATATTCCAACTATGTTTTAACTTAATAGAATGCACAGGCCAATGCGTGTTTCTCGAGTTTGTATATCCGATACAACACGGAAGCGAATGTTGTATATGGCTTGTAAAACATCATTATTGTTCAACAATTTAAAATAAATGAATGATATTTGGTGAGAAAATTGAACTTCAAGTTTCTGTAAATTAGCATGATCCTGTATCAGATATACAAACTCTCCTTCACACTCAAGATTTCTTTTGTGTTTTCTTCATGAATGAATTATTAATGAGTCGCGTAAAGTCTCATACAACAGAGACAGGAATAATGTATAAGAAACACCCCCAAAATAAACGTCTGGTATGCAGGCTAAATATATAATAGCTTTGATTGGTCATGAATGACCATGAATATTTAAAGTTGATTTACATCAGCAGGATTTTGTATTTCATGGTTTAATATGATGTCGTTACAATTCTTGTCCAGGGACGTTCCTAGCGATAGCTGGTGAGGGGGGGGGGATAAACTAAAAAAATTTGGCCCCTTTCCTTTCTGGGGCCCACCCCTCAAATTTTTTTTCTGGAAAACAAAAATTTATCCGGAAAATGATAGCGATGGGGCGGGGTCGCCATTTTTTTGCGAAAATATAACGTGCCAAAACATTTTTCCAAACATTATTTTGCGATAATGGGGGGTTAAAAATACTTTTTTTCAGACTTTTTTCAAGCTCTATTTTTCAGAATATTACTTAATATTTAACACATATTTATTCGAGCGTTCCGGGGCCCCCTCTGGGAAAGTTGGGCCCCTTTCTTGACTTTTCTTTGGGGGTGTTACACCCCCCACAACCGCACAGTAGTTCCAGCCCTGTTCTTGTCTAACCAATTAACGAACGTGAGTTTGGTTATGTTTTAAATCCTCCTCACCAAAAACTAACCCTTATGCCTTAGTTATTGAACACTTGTACCATGATGAGCGAATATTCAAATAAATAAATACTTGCGCATTCTTTCTATTAAGCTCATATTATACAACCTGACCCATGTGGCGCAGACGTCATCGCCTATTACAAGTTTGACCGATCTGTTCGAGATGTTTGCTTCGGCCACAACGCTCAGAAAAATAGCGGTACCCCTGTACTGGACCCATCAACAGGTATATCGAATGCAGCAGTCAAATTTCAAGGCTTCCAGTCATCGCAACTCCATGTACCTAGCCTAAATGGTTACGCATGGGGATCGAAGTTCTCTGTTAGCTTTTGGTTTAAAACGTCAACACGTTGGCATCAGAATATCCAAGGTCTTATTAACAATGGTCCCGTGAGCAATGAAACTACCAGTTCAGGCAGTTTGGAAATATATCTTAATACTGGTAATTATATTGGTGCATCTATTGTGACGTCACACTCGGCAAAAGCCTGGCCTAGGATAACTACAGCCGTTCCACGTCATTGGCATCATCTGGTTATGACGTACGATGGCAAAACTATCAATTTTTACCTCAACAACCACCTTAAGTTAACCGACACGGAGTGTTGCCATGGGAATATCGTTAGCAAAAATAGCGACGTTGTGCTTGGTCATATTGAAAGATACTATGGCTATGGCTATGACTATAGCTATGGCACGCAGGCTATTAATAGCTACATTGACGAAATGAAATTGTTTAAAAAAGCTTTAACCGCTCACGAAGTTCTAAAACTTTATCGTCTTAAAGTAGTTTAAACAGTCACAATGAAACAGTTTCTAAGAACCTTGAAAATCGAACTTAAACGTTATTGGGACTTGATAAAAGTTATGATTAGGTTTAATAATAAGTGAAATGTTATTGGGACTTGAAACATGGTGCATTAATTAAAAACGTAATTAGGTCATGGGTGGAATAGAAATTTTGTTCAAATGTAATGATTCGAAGAAATGTGATTAAAAAGATTAATATTAGAGCTAAGTATATGATCATTGTTGTTGCTGTTGTTGTTTTTTTTGTTTTTACTGTTGCTGTTGTTGGCACAACTTGTAGCAAGTCTGTTACCGTCATCAACCTTATAACAAGGTGATAAGAGGGAGAAAAGTTAGAACTTTGTTGACCTTTGAATTCAGCCTAACCTCAATTATTTTAACATCTCATTCCTAAGAACTTTTGAAATGATATTGTAACTTATTTTGAAGATTTTCGTTTGCACTCTTTGTCTCTGAGTTATTTCAGTTTTATTGATATGCAAATGTCCGCAATTTACGTCGCATATGAATAATAATGACTGATCAAAGAATGTAAGGTACAGTTAAATATCATGGAATAAAAAGGCTAAATGGTGTTTTACATATAGGTATATGTAATCCTCTCATAACTTCAACTGTTCACGGGCTGGGGCACACAAAGAACTTTGAAAATTCTTTATTACATAAATATGCTACCCACGTCATTTCCTTTCGTATAAAATCGTTTTAGGTCGTTAGAAAGGCTTTATATAAAACAGACACAAGCGAACTGACAACACACGTATTTTCTCAACAACATGGCAAATGTTACAGTAATTGTCTTGCTTATGGCATTGCTCAAAAATGCCGACGCAAGCTTCTTCAGTCACTGCTGCAGTTTGCGCTGTGTTAAAGAGATCACAGGTATAGTTGGATAATTGGCTATATTGTTATGCGTTGTTTGTCGAAATGTCGAAAGTAAGACTTCGTTTACAAGACACCACGAAGAAACCAGGGCAGGACTATTTCGTTTCCGTTATAGTCTTTCTTTACATGAAATTAGGACGAAGCTAAACGAAAGCACGATAGAAATCTTGTTTGTTTCTTTGCCGTATTTCGATAGTGAAATTCTGCCAATTCATAATCAATGTCGATATTAATCTTGCTTGCAAGCTTATTTATACACACATCAATTGTGCTTCTTGCGCTTAGGGGAGTTTTGACCTTTAGATAGCCTGCCTGCTCGCAGGCTAACCTTTAGAGGACAATCTTGATCACTACTACATGTAAAGGCAGTACGCCAGTACAGTTTCAATATATAACACCACCTTAAATTGTCGTCATTTTTTACTGGTAAATTCTGACAGCTTGTCAACAATTTATACTAAATTCTCAGTATCGACATTTTTATCGAATATGTAGAGATCGGAAGAGCGTCGTGTA